CCACCCGTACACACACACACACACACACACACACACACACACACACACATCTTTGTACTGATATTTCAACCACCCATAGTCCCCCACCAACCTCCCCCCCAATTTCTCTGGCTGCCATTATCTCACTGATATTGATCCACGCCTGTACAACCAGAGAGCCTTTACTGGATAATTTTCAAGGGCATTTATAAATACATGATGGGATGGATGCTGATCGCTCTCTGGGTGTTTGGGAGTTTTGTGAGAGAGAGAGAGAGAGAAACGGAGAGAAAGAAGAGTGTGGGGGAGGCAGACAATGTGTGGTTTGGACAACAAATTTTATCGGGCGGGAAGATGGTCTGTCGGTCAGTTCGGCGTTGCTAAATCATTAAACTATTCATTTACTAATTAAATATTCTTCATTTAATCGGTAGAACGACACAGATGCACAATAACGTGTGAAGCCAACCTCTAAAGCAAACCATTCTTGGCACAGTCGTACAAAAATACCTTTGCTTCAGAGAAGAGAAAAACAATGTTTTTTCTCTGCTTTTGACTGTTATTAAACCATATTTCTGCGTTCACATTTTCACGATGAATATTCATTGACACACTGGTATTAAACACAAAAGCACATCTGTAGTCTGTCGCGTTGAGGCAGCTTGGCAGCAGCTCGGAACATTCGCACCCAAAGCAGCCAAATGATTATGAATTCAAACCGGAGTGAGAAGAACCGCTTTGTTCAGCCGTGTTTCAGGCTCACATTGAAGCTGTTGCGCCGACGTGCTTTTGTTGTTGTCTTTTGGTCAGGAAAAATAATAAAAAAATGTCCCATAAATTTTGGACGTTCAGGAAGCAAAGTTAATTTCCTGTCCGGCTGATGGTACTGAAATCGTAGCGAGCGCCGTCTGGGCGGAGGTGAGCGGGGCCAACATTAACAAAAACATCACGGGAGAACTAAAAGGTGGGGCCGCCCCTCCACCCGGCCTCTGGGTCGACCTGTCGGTGTGTGTGTGTGTGTGTGTGTGTGTGTGTGTGTGTGTGTGTGTGTGTTCTATGTGTGAAGTAGTGTGCAGCAAAGCATCTGTTACCAGAGGGGAGCCAGCAGGTAGTAAAGTGTACGTGTCTGTTTGTATCCGTGCACATGTGCCTGTGTGTGTGTGTGTGTGTGTGTGTGTGTGTGTGTGTAGTGTGTGTAGTGTTGTCAGTATTAAAGCCTTCCCTCCTGTATCCGGCAGACCTGACCGTGGCCCGCCTTCCTCAGGGACCCAGACATAGACGCCTCGCAGCTTCCTGTAACACACACACACACACACACACACACACACACGTAGAACAAAAGAAAGAGTTGATTGTGTTCACGATCAAGTTGCTCTATTACAAACCCTAACACACACATTCTACAGAACATTCAGCTTGTTTTATCTTGCCTACACTTCAGTGACATCCCGTATGTTTCAGGGTTGTCTGTGCGTCCGTCTGTCCGTCCTTACATGCGGGCAAACGTCTGTCCGGTTTTATTCTCATGAACGCGATATTTCAGGAAAACGCCCAGAGGGAATTTCTTCAAAATTGACACAAAAACGTGAACCTGGACTCCAGGGTTAACTCTCTTTATTTTTCGGCGGCCAAAGGTCGCTGTGACCTCACGTCCGTCTCATTGTCATAATATCTCAGGAACGCCTTGAAGGAATTTCCGCAGATTTGGCACAAACATCCCACTGGACTCAATGTTGAACTGATTAGAAATTGGACGAAACACATTTTTGGCCATAACTCAAGAATCTGTATGCCGATCATGACGATAGCATAAAATAATAAAGTTTTGGACAGACATGGACGTAAAGGGATACAACCGCGAGGCGGTAGCTCTGGTCCGGACTGTTCCTCCACAGCAGGAGGGTAAAAGAAGGGTATAGAGGGGGTGGAAGGAAAGAAAGAAGAAAAGGCTGGCAACCAAACCTTTACAAAAATCATTTACTGACTGTATCTTGTTTTTTCAGTGGTAGATAACTACCCGGCACAGCTGGTCTTGACATCCTCACAAAGAGAAGCAGGGCAGGTTGAATATTGCATTCAGAAACATCTAAACACTGTTAACCTGCTGCCACACACACACACACACACACACACACACACACACACACACACACTTGATAACAACTGGAAGGACTTTCCTCTAAAGGCTGTAATAACTCCAGTCCTCCAGAGAAGAATACTTGACTCTGCAGGGGTGCTGACCCGTGCTAATTACCTTATTCACTGTGCAAGCATCAGCGAACTGAACAAGTGCTGAAGACTGACTGGGATGAACGAGCATGCAGCCAATTTCAAGCCTTTACTCACCAAGACAATCCAGACGGGCGTAGTTTATGTTGTATGTGTTCATGTTGGGGTTGAGTACCGATGCAGGTCATAATTGGTCTCCATAGACAGGACTTGAGACTTAAGACCTTTCCACACCGAGTCTGCATTGTTTTTAATGCGTTATTTTAATCCGTCATCTGATAGAATCACTACACACAGTTACCTTGTACACTGAGTCTATACGTTGAACTGAACTATTTACGTCGATACAATGGATATGAGTCCTTATGAATGAATGACATGAGCAAGAAGAACCCAGGGCTGCAGTCAAAGCTCTACAAATGAGTCGTTTTCTGTCCTGGAGACGGTTTAGGAATGGACGGAATGCTTTGGCTAAGTTGTGTCTATTGTTTCGGATGTGGTCCTTCTCCCCTCTGTGAGTGTCTCTCCTCCCTGCATCCCTCTCCTGACTTCGTCACTCTCAGACAACTGGGGCAAAAGTCACCGGCCTTTGGCGGTGTTGGTGACAGCGCCATTCAGCATCCCGTCTGTCACAATACTGGCACAGCAAAGTGTGGAAACTGCCAACTAATGGCTGTTTATCCAGCGTAGAAGCCTGCCAGCCCGCTGTCTATCCAGGCTCAAAACCTGCCATCCAGGCTCAAAACCTGCCATCCAATGATTGTTGAAGCTCACAAACCAGTGGCTGCCAAATCACAGGATGCTGAGATTAAAGTGTGTTTCAGAGAGAGTTCTAGGTAAGGTGTTGCTTTGCCGAATCCCCTCGAAAGTTCTCCTTTCATATGCCACAATTTCAGGCTCCAACTATCGGCGTCTCATTTTCTCTTCCAAAACATTGTTGAGCATATGGTGCTAAACAAATACTGTAGAGAAAAAGTGTTTTATGCAACAATAACAGAATTTGTGTCAGAGTGTCTCTTTTCATATTGACAGGCCTTATACTTGCTCTTGAAAGTACTCCAATGATTTATTATTGCGCCCCCATGATGCTGTGGGGCTTGTGAGAAACGGATATAATAAAGAATTGTCACCGTCAGCTAACGTTTACGAGCCCTCCTGCTGATTTCAACAAGGACTCATTGTTCACTGTGTAGCATCATCGGAGTTAAAACAGGAGACATGCGAGTGTTTAACCACAGGTGTGTTGTACTAGTTTGCACATGTGCAGTACCGATCGGGAAGTGAGTGACGTGTGTTGTTGCGATCACATGATTTATCAGCTAAATAAGATAAGTGATACTGTCTATGCACATGCAGTCTTCATGCACCACCCAGTCTCTCTCTCTCATTCTCTCTCTCTCTCCTCTGTCTCTCTCTCTCTCTCTCTCTCCCCTTACCTTTCTCTGCCTTTGCAGTTGTCACCTCCAATTCTATCCTCAATTCATTATGTCTCCCCATTCCCCAGCTGGCGCGCACACACACACACACACACACACACACACACACACACACAGCCATGGTGTAGTCTGGACTGAGGTAGAATTGGATTCTTAAGAGACTATTTGAGACTTTTTATCTTCATCTTTTCCCTCCCTTTCACTTCACCCTCATTCCACCTCTCCCTGTCAGTCCCATCTTTATTATACACTCTTCCCCTACCGCTCTCTCTCTCTCCTACACACACACACACACACACACACACACACACACACACACACTCTTCAATCTCAATCATACGCTGCACTCTGCCTCCCTCACTGTCTCCTCTTACACTCTCTCTGTCTCTCCATATATTCACTCCGGGTCCCGTCTCCATCATCTGTCTCCCCTCACTGTATCTTAATTCAACAGTCTGTGGACCTGCCAGTAATGGAGTGGATGCACTGCTGTGTGCTGAGCCCATTCAGTCAGCTCAGTCGCATGTTTTACTGAATGAAGCCCATAGTTCACGTGCTCTATCTGTGTCTGCAGGGAGTGTTTATGAAGGCATTACTGTCTATGAATGTGAGTGTGTATATGCATGTTTTTCCCTCTCCGTATCGCTCATGAATGTGCGAGTGTGTTACCCGACACAGTCCTCCTCTTACGACATCAGACCAAGCCGAGAGTGGCCTCCATTGATCAAAGCGTTTTGCAGCGGTGCAGGGTTGAATCTGCAGGTCCAGACAGCAGTGCCAATGTTGTCACCCGGCCGGTGTGATGAGGCGACCTGCACTCGTTTCACTCCGACTTGCTGCCTTTGATGCAGGATTGCGTGTTTTGATCCAATAATGAAATGCAAGAATAAAGAACATATCCTGTATGTATGTATGTATGTATGTATGTATGTATGTATGTATGTATGTATGT